AAAAAAAACTTTTTTTTTTCAAAATTTTCTGTAATTTTTCCTAATTATAATAAAAAATAAAAACCCCAGTGGTGATTAAATACCCCCAAAATAAAGCCCTATCTGTCCCCAAAAAATGGTATAAAATTCATTTCAGTACAGCGTTGCATGACGGAATAAACATCAGTCAAAGGACTGCAGCGCTGAACACTGAAAAATGGCCTGGCCAGGAAGGGGGTCTAAACACCTGGTCTTGAAGTGGTTAATATAATACACAGTTTTTTTGAAGAGGTCATGGACCTCTTAAAATCAATCAGTCATTATAGTCAGTAGTGTAGTTACCAAAAGCAATGCACCTGTGTGGTAAAAAAAAAAGAAAATAAGCAGTATTTTCATTCAATTCCAGTAGCCCTAAAACCATCCTTTCTATTTGGCACATGATGTGTGTGAAGTGTCTGAAAGCACATTGAAAATAAAATGTTCTACTTGTGAAAGAGGATAGGCATTAGGGAAAACCTTCTCAGTTTTTTTTTGTGTGAAGGTAGCATCTCTGTACTATAAGTGTGCACATTCCGAAGTTGAGCCAGTCTTCTGTGGAAACTATTGACAGTTGTGTTATCTTTACCCATGTCAAAGCTAAAGACTGAAGATGTAAAGCACTGAGCACTAACTCAAGCAAACAATATGCTGTGAATTTTAAAGTGTTGATAAAATATGTAATGCATTTAGAAACTCTTTCCCTAGCATTTAACATTGATTCCAGTAAACTGAATGTATCAATAACGAGTTTCCTGAGTTGTGGAAGATTTTCTCACACATTCAGAATCTGTTGTGCATTAATAATGTAGTTTAGGTGAGAATTTTCAACATACAGAAGGCAACAGGATTATCATAAAGTCATAAACATTTAAAGTGTATGTTTCCACAAAAATTAAGCTTATATATTTGGTTGGATTTTTCACATACTGTAGGTCTTGGTATATATAGTATGCATGTTTTTGTTTGGTGTTGATAAATACCTGGTGATCCTGCTAGTCCCATTGGTCCCTGTGTCAAATTGACCATGTCAAGCAAAGAAGCAAATCCATGCTGGTGTGGTCAGTTTGCATCCCTGAGATTGCTTCCAGGAGATATAGGACACTATGCCTAGGTACAGTGTTCTATATCTCATGTAATCAGTTTAGGTGTCATGCCTCCCTCCAGCCCTGCTCTGTTGATGTGTCATGTTGATGCTTCTCGGAGATACAAGACGCTGTGCATGTACCTCCTGTAGTCAGTTTAGGTCCACACCCCCCACCCAGCCCAGCTGCCATGATTGACAGCAGCTCCCACTAGGAGCCTTACTATCAAATCTGCAGAGCACAGAGACGAAAAGTACTTCTGTGCTGTGTGTGATGTTACACGCTGTCCGTCCACCTGCTATGTGTACACCATCCATAGCATGTGAAGAGAGGAGGTAACAGAGTTTGTGCAGTCATGTGACAACAGAAACAACAATTTGCAAAAGGTAAAAGTAATTTATTTATTTTTTTAAGAAAATGTGTTTACAGTTAGGAAATGTAATTTGCTGTGTCAAAATGTGTTTTTGTAATTGTGAGTTCTAAAACACAAAAGTAATGTACGCACCCTAAATGTAAGAATAATATTGCTCACAACCGGACATGGGAGCTGAGTGCATTTCTAGCAGACCAAGGGGTATTATTGTCTACTTGCAGTGTATTTGCAGACTGAAAAAACTGACAGGGATTCTAATAATGTTGTACTCTATTCAAAATGGTAAAAAAATAGCTTGGATTTCACACACACTTTAAAGACAAACATTTAGCCAAAGCTGGAAAGGTTTGCATAGGGTGGTGAAGGGTTTGAACCTCTATCAGATTTTATACCCCATCAAGTTGGTGCCTCCTTGGTTTCTTTCATCTCCAGCCCCACCAACACCTTCTTATGCTAGAAAACACATCGTATTGCTGTTTATTGTCTTCATTGGAGAGATTTCCCTTACTTTCTGTGACAGTGACAGGGAGACAAGAATTGAAGGGGAACCTACACAATATGGACAGGGACAGCAAGAAAAATATGTCATCATTGTAACCAAAGCATAACAATTGTGTTTAGCTATGCTTTAATGAGGTAAGCAGGTTTCCATTTTTTGAATGCCATAGGTCATTTAACACAGTTCCCAACTATGAATATAAAGTTTTGTAGCGTGGTTGCCCTTCTTATCTGTGGGGCAGTTGATAGTTTTTTTCAGGCATATTAGGCAAGAAATTAGCTGTATTCTTGGATATTTTGCTGCCCCAATAGCAACTTGCTTTCAGGGGGATTTATGTCTTTAGACACAAAAGCTTTGTACAGATTATTTGTGTGTCTGTTACTGCATGGATACAGATCAAGCAGAATTGTTTGTTATAATAAATTGCTTGTTCATCTAGAGCAGTAGTTATTAGCCTTTCTAGGGCCATATCTTATTATTTTTATTTTTTTTATTTTCTTTTACTTTTTTCACTTAACTTTATTGCTATCACACAGGAGCTAACAAGTCCCTGTGTGATAGCATTTGGAGGTGACAGGTTCTCTTTATTGAACCTGTCACCTCTAATACAGGAGTTCTAGCACAGCATTGTGCTGCAACTCTTGTGACAGCTGATATAGGAAGGCTGTGTGTTCAGCATTCCTGTCTCACTGTTAACACAAAGCAGACTAGAGAACAGAAGATCTCAGGTCTGCTTCCCGCACTACATCCTGAAGTAGTTTGCCATGGTCCCAAGTCCCCCAGAAGAGCGGGGGACCCCGAAAACCACAGCCAGGAGGGAGGCAGCTGGCTGGGAGGGAGGCAGCCAGCAGAGGGTAGTGGACCATGTAGCAGCAGGCTAATTACAAGTTATGTAGGCAGCTCTACAGTCGCCAAAATCACTTGACTGGCTTCCCTGCTGTACATTTAGCCCTGCTTGCCTGAAGTGGGGATAAATGTAGAAAAAAATGCCTGCCTGCTCTCTGCCCCTCCCCAGACGCAGCTGCTGCAGTGACATCTGGTGGGGCAGCAGGAGTTCTGACATTGCTGCACTAGGAGGAGGCTGAGGAGCCTCTCACCTAGTGCAGAAGAAAGCACACAGTGACCTACACAACGGGGTTGTGACCCACTTTTGGTTCACGACCCACATGTTGAGAACCACTGATCTAGAGCATCCACATCCTCAAAGCTCACATCATCTCTGCTGTCTAGAGGATGCCCCGTCATTTTTTAACCCCTTTTCCCTCTGAATCTTCATCATCCTCATTGAGCCTATTACAGAAGCTCTGGCCAGAGCTTATAATACCGTTGACATTGTGACCAGAGGTAGAGACAGACAAATGGAAGCTAAAACAGTGGGCATTATGGTAGGAAGCATGTTGCCTATGGTAGCAAGCATGTTGTTTTTTGGTAGCCAAGAAAATAACAGTAAATATATAAAAGCAGAATTAACTGCTTTTGTAGTTTATTGTGACAAGATTAATCAATTACACTGCCTGGCTGGTGACAATCTCACAGGGCACAAACAAGAAAAACATCTCTTGGAGGAGAATCTTGGGGACTTCAGGAGGGAAGGAAGCTTCTGGAATGCCTCCCCCCCATTATGCAAAAGGAACCTAAACAAAGCTTAAACAAAAGTTGGGTGTTTTTTTCTAAATACATAATCACATGAAAAAACAGGATCATGTAGGAACTGGCATTATTATATTTTAACTTTGAAGTGTATCAAGATGAATTTGGGTAAACCGATCTTACAGCAAGCTGAAAAAGTTACTGTGTATTTATTGTCTGCATTGTTGCATTTTAATTTTTTGCACAGGAGACTGGAAACCACCCAGAAGAAATGGAGATGGAAATGATGTCAAGTACATCACCACCAGAAAAGACAAAACACAAATCAGCTTCCCCAGACCACCAACATCTGGCTGTGCCAGCAACATCAAATCAGTTAAACAGTACTAACCTTGCCTCTCCAGCAGGCAGCCCTTGCAAGGCTGAGAAGAATGGGCACCCTACAGATAGTGCAAAGCCTGCCAAGGCCTTTGAAATTCAGTCAATGCCCAATGGAAAAACAAGGACATCTCTAAAAACTATGAGCAAAAGGAAACTTTCCCAGCAAAAAGAAAAGAAAGCCACACAGATGTTAGCCATTGTGCTTGGTGAGTCCATAGAATCATCACATATTTCATTCGACTGACTTTTTTTTTCTTCGAGCGCTGAAACGTTAAATAAGAATTTTAGGTAGCATTACACCAACAGCACAAATGTTCCCTTACATGACTGCTTTTTAATTCCGTGCTGTTTACTAATTTAAAATCGGCAATTAAATTCCTTAGTTTCATTATTTTGTCTGTGGTCACATGACCACTAAACCTCCAGGACATTCCTTATTTTTCTTTATGGGGGTAGATGTTGCAAGAAGAAGTGGCTGTTATGAGTGAGGGGGGAGGGGATGAGCTTTATCTGTCAGTTGAGGAGTTATATCTGACAGTCAGGGATTATAATTGTCAGTGATGAGATAACACTAGGCATATACAGTAAGGAAGATTTTGACCAGCAGAGAAAATATGCACAGGCACAAAATTGAAATTGTATAATTAAACTGGAAACTTGCATTAGGGTTTTTTTTTGCCTGGAGAGACACTTTGAAATTCATTTGAATTCATATTTGTTTTGATACCTTTATGCTGGAGTCTTTCGATTTTAAAATTCCTGGTTGCTATTCATTTGCTAAGGTTATTTATTTTGTCACCTCCCTAGTTCTTTCATAATGGAATATTATGCAGTTATTACAATGCAGCTGTCATTCACATCTCTGTGAACTTACTGGTTACAGAGGTTACATCCGGCTACATCTGAGACTGATTGTATGCATACAAACCCACAACAAGCTACTGCTCCCTTATTTGCCTTCCTGGAGAAATATTTCTCTCCTAATAAGGCAGATTTAGCTGTAGAATACCTTAACCCAAAACAGAAACATCAGTAGGACCAATTTATTAAGCACTTAAAGGTAGAACTGTCATTGAGTTCCCATCTATTTCCACATTCCAAAAAAAACTGTATTTCTTAGAACAGAGGTCCACTTTCAAGTAGAGGAATGCATAGTTAAACACATGTCAAAAACCTAAGGGGTCCCAAAATATCCGTCATGTGAACTTCTCCCTAACATGGGTATTCAAACTTTATTTTGAATTAGGTAATCTCCCAGCCCCATGACTTTTACAAAGGTTAGGTTGAACATTTTAGAACATCTAACTGTAATGATCTGGGGGTAGGAAGGTCACTGGGAACTGTAGTTATTTGATCTAATTTCTCGAGCCCTATAGGTATGTAAGCTGCAAGTGTGTGCTTTAGAATACTATTGTGCACTTAGAATCCTTTTTCTGGCCTCACACTTAAATGCTATATATTATGGAATTATTCAGCTCTTTGTCACATATTCTTTAGTGTGTATACTGAATCTCTCAGTCAGAGTTATCAAATGCATGGAAAGCTATTCAGCTTTTTATTAGGCATTTGTACAAATTTAATGAAGCTTTCAAGGAAAAAGTTAAAAAACTGGCACCGATATCTAGTTTTTACAGTACTCTTCACTTTGTTCAGTTACAAACTCTTTATTATTTATTAAAACTGTACAGCATTAAAAAAAACTTTCCAGTGATGTGCATAAACTATATATATATATACACATATATATGTATATATATATACATTGCCTAAATATAAATAAAATACAAATAATATTGCTTACAACCTAAAAAACTAATTAGTGGGAAGCAGTGAAATAAATACATATATTGTATAAGACTGATAAATGATCAATCAAAGTGATAGTGGCAATAACAGCCAATTCAAACAACTGTCCAGTCCTTAACCCCTTCGTGACGGGAGACGTACACTGTACGTCCAGCCACAAAGGGACCAAATGACTCGTCACGTACACTGTACGTGACGAGTTATTTGCTGCACTAGAAGGCTGCTAACCGCTGAGAATCAGCGGTTACCTTTCAGTAATAGATGTCTAACTATCTAGAGATCCATTACTGAAAGGGTTAACCTTTTTCAGACACCCGATACCTTAATATCGGGTGTCTGAGAGTCACAGCAAAGCAGACACACATGTCGGCTTTTGCCGGCATTCTGACAGCTCGTATAGATCGAGAGATATCTCTCTCAAGCTATACTGGCTTTTTTTTTTTTTATCTTTTGACTTTCAAGAATAGATACAAAATGTTATGTATTAGACACATAATGTATCTATTCTTGAAAGTAGAATGTTTAAGTTTTCTGAAACATTCACTGACAGCTGAATCCTGAACTGCTGCAGGATCAGTGTCACTAACTTATTATCGGCTGTTCTGAAGTTTGAAGCAGCCTGATAATAAAAAAAATTTATTAATTTATCAAGCAGTAATAGTGAGATTAATTCACAATGACTGCCTGATATAATTAAATAAATAAAATTTGTCAGTATAAAAAAAGTGAAAAGTGTAAATAAATTAAAAAAAATAGTGAAAAGTGTAAAAAAATTAAAAATAAGGGACAAATAAATGAATGTATGTATTGCATTTTTTTTTAGCTGTGCTGGTTTTGTTAAAAAAAATACTACAAATCAAAACTGGGAAAAAAAAGTTTGTTTTTACGTTTTTTCCTCTTTTTTTAATTTGTATTTGTCATAAGTGAGGCGTTAGACACACATATGTGATATAAATATATAGCCCTATCTGTCCTCTAAAAAACAATATATAATATGTGTGGGTGCACTTTGTAAGAAAGTATATTACTGACGTGGAAGAATCACACAGCAAAAATGTCAAAAGTGTGTCAGTCATTTACGAACAGAAACCAAAAACAAGCTCAGTCATGAAGGGGTTAATCGTAAAAAAATAAAAAAAATTGAATTTGGAGAAAGTTCTCCTCACTTGAAAAAAAGAGGAAAAAGAAAAACTTTCTCCAAATCCAATAGAGTGCAGATGCACTTAACTGCTGTCAACGAGATTTCAGGGTTCCAATAAAATGGTGCTCCTCTGTGTGTCCAGAAAGCACCCCCCCAGTGACTATGCACTCACCAGAATTTGTTACTGTTAATAACAGCCAGAGAAGTGTTTAAGTAAATCAAGGAAACTGTCAACGTCCTCCCTCCTTGTATTCTGCTCCTTCCACCACGCTCATCCCTGACATTTAATCATGTTAAGAAAGGCAAAAGGAAACCCTCATGGTGCAGTATTAGGATTTTTATTAAATAAACAATAAAAAACTCACTGTTAAGAAATACAACAGCCGGCTGGCGACAGTAAAAACTCTGTCTACTCTGAATGTGTAACGTCAGAAAGACCCACCCCTAACGCGTTTCGTCATTTGACTTTTTCAAAGGATGACAGGCCTAACTGGCCACACTTCAAGATCAACCTTATAGCCCAGGAGGCATGATAGGACACACTCACTGGGCGTCCCATCAAATCAATTCAATGGGAAATGTCCCATCCACGGATATAAAATACAATGCATATACAACAAAAATTAATAAGAACTAAAACCAAACAACAACTTTGTACCTATAGTTCAATAGCCACCAACTAATTTAGCAAGGTCAGACAAATAAAAGATATATACATTTTAAATAATTATAAATAAAAAATTATAAAATACAATAAAAGGATATTATTTAAAGAAAATATCACAAACATTATAAAATATCTCTATAACTAAATTATCCCAATAGATAACATTATAAGGCAAGATATATAGGACAAGAACCAAGAACAAATAAATAAATACTCATATATACAATCCCATCCGCTATCTCATCATATAAATCCCAAAATTCTGTATAAATGAATTTCAATATTTTAGAACATATACAAAATAATACTCCCTCATGTATAATAATATACCTTAAAAATAATGTATTACTTAAAAAACAATTCAAATCAAAGTCGATATTAAGGCCCCACTGAGCCAGTGGGGTTGATTTACTAACCTTATAAACACACCACAAACATGTATACACCTCTGTAGTGTGTTCCCTACTGGTGAGGTTGGAACCCCTCCAATGACCATCAATTTTGTCGATGCCCACTATCTTTAGATCTTTAAGATCGCAATTATGAAAAATTCTAAAATGCCGTGACAAACTATGGGGTCTATTTACTAAGCTGCCGAGGGCAGCCGAGTGAATGACCGATCTGAAGTGAAGTGAGCATTGAAAATTCTTTTTTTTTTCTTTTTATTCTGACATCGCTCGTGTCAGAATAAAGAAAAAAAAGACACAGCTGTGTTTCTCTCCTTGGCGGCCGGGAGCATCAACTCCCGGGCCGCCAGGGAGAGTTAGCTGTTTGGAGATCAGTGTCCCTGGTTAGCAGTTAACCAGGGGCGCTGATCTCTCTGAAAGTGGCCGGAGCCAGCTGTAGGATCACGGCTGGCTCCGCCCAGCTGTCAGAAGCAGGCTGTCTCAGCTGTCAGAAGCAGACTCGGCCAGCTTTGGCTTTCAGCACGGCTCAGCCGAGCCGATGCATATGCGGTCGGCTCGGCTTAGCCGCTCGGCCACGATCGGGAGCTGTACGGGCTATTGTGAATAGCCCGTACAGCACCCCTTCGGTTCTACTGAACCGAAGGGGGTCCTGGGGCCGAAGCTAGCTGAAGGATCGGCCGAAGCTACGGCCAGATCCTTCGGCAGCTTCGTGAATAGACCCCTATGTTTATTAAAACCCATTAAAACCCATTAACATGCTCCTCTAATCTCTTTCTGAGCTCCCTCATAGTCCTACCTATGTATTGTAGCACACATGGGCACTCCAGAGGGTATGTTACAAATTTACTATGACAGGAGATACAATTTGTGATTTTATATTCTGTATTGTTAATATTCTTTTTATTTCCTGTTCATTTTTTGTTTTCAATATTGCTTACTTTGGAAGATAATGTGCATTGTGATTATTTGGTCAACACAGAGCTTTTTCAGAAGGCTTGTCTTACATTTGCATCTATTCTAACCTGGAACCAACTTTCAAAAATGTATGACTTATTATCTTTTTTTTTTGTGTTTCTCACTCAGGCGTCTTCATAGTGTGCTGGTTTCCCTTCTTTATAACCCATATCCTAAATATGCACTGCAACTGCAAGATACCACCAGCTTTGTACAATGCTTTCACATGGCTTGGTTATGTTAACAGTGCAGTTAATCCTATTATTTACACCACATTCAATGTGGAATTCCGAAAGGCCTTCATAAAAATACTGCACTGCTAGAACAGTTAACAGGCTGCTTCACATGGAGAACAAAAGCAGAAAATAACTGAAAAGGAAACAGAGCCCTGTGAATTCTGGCCAGAAAATCCCTTTTATGGGAGGGGAACATACAGTCACACTCATGTGAACCTGTATTAGCCATGATCTGCACATGTCCAGGCTTGGTAAATAGTAACCTGGAAGTTAGTCTATGAATGAAAAGGTGTTGTCATTAACAATTAAGAAATATGGACAGTCCACCAAATTGGAGTGTGAGGTTTGATAACTTGCCAAGGCAACTATAAAAAGTGGTAAGACAAGCCTTAACTGTACTAAATAGCATCTTTATTGCTACGCTCAAGAAGAGGAACTGTTGAATTCAGCCAATAATGTTGACAAAATTGACATTTTCAGGACCTATGTGGATGTCATTGCAGACTCACCAAAGACACTGTCATTTTTTAATCTGATCTTTGCAATATAAAGAAGCTACCATCTACTGAGACTATACTTTGAATCAGGGAACTGGGGCTTTTCCTTCAAGTATTAAGACTTTAAAAGAAATGATCTATTTTGGACCTTCCCTACACTTGTCACCTCCAGCTTAATGGGTGATGTGGTGATCAATGCAACATGAAGAACAGTTAGAGTTTTGCATTGTGGTGATAAAACTGTAAATAGAGAATGTTCTGAAAGAAGCCCAAGCCAAAAAATAATATTATAAATATTTAAAATCTGTCTTGCATGGTGTGTGTCACATTTAAGATTTATCATTGTCACACCATGACTAAATAAAAGTAAGAGTGAACCATACAAGTGAGAACTTTACTGGATCCTTACAGGGGCAAATCTTGTTTTCAGAGGACCCACAATGCTTTGCAAAACATCTTGTGCCAACTCACAGCATTTAAAAGAAAATAGAAGAAATAAAACCTTTACCGCTCTAATTGTATAAGATATATGAGTGAACAATATTATGCCTGTGGCTTGTGTTTTTGCCAGTGTAACTGGTTATAATTTGTTTTCTACGTGCCCGCTGATAATATGCTTAGTGCATTATGCAACTACATCAGGTAACCTAGTGCTTGAAAATTACCATTGGCTAATTCTGTAAATTGAGATGGTGGAAAGACTAATTTTGTCTGACCCTGAACAGACAAAGTTAACCAGTCCAGATGTATCACAACTATTAATCTATATCTACATCTAGCATAAAGCATCACGCAAAGCACTCATTTTGTCATCATAGCTACTACTACTACAGAGGGATACGTGTTTTTAATTAAAGATACACAAGGAATAGTAAGAATTAACCAAATCATTGAACTGCGGACAGGACACATATCCAGCCTGCTCAGTTTTTTCTTCGGGGGTTGTTATACTGTGTTAAACTACCCTTGCCCATAAATGCCTTGGTACTGATAATCAGGTGTTCTCAGAACATCTCGTCTAGTACTTGAATGTATGGTGGTTGTTCTCTGTCCGGCCCACCACAACTTTTTGATTTCTTGGAGGGATCCCAGAATCCAATGCCTACTTCACCCTGACTGATAAGCTACTGCAGATTGCCTAGAAGCCACTTTCAGAAGCAGTGGTGGGTAGATTGGATTAATCAAGGGCTAAATTATAGTGAGTAGATGTTCTGACTTTAATACAATTGCAGTGTTTGCTTGATGAGAGTACACTGCCCTGAGTTGCTCTTAAAAAAATACACTGTTGCCCTAAAAAAATTTAAACAAACACTGCTGTTTAAAAAATGCATGTATAATACTTACCTTAAGCTGGCCATGCGCTGTTCAATGTTCTGCTGGCATCACCAAGCTAAACAAAAGTTAATTATCCAATCCACTTTTGTCAAAGGATTTGGGTGAAAAATTGAAGCTGAACAGTGACTGGATGCAGCCACAGTTCTGGTATTTTAACATTGGTGGGCACCGGATGTTAGAATACAGTAACCCAGCAGGAAGGATTCGTCCATCTACGATGTTTAGTGTGCATGGGGGAATTTTTTCTGTCCAGCCTCATAGGCCAGTTTAATCTCTTGCTGCTGATCTTCCCACATTTGCAGAGCTGAGGCTTGTGCTAAGAATCTTTAGCTTCCAACACTTCTGTCTGTGATGAATGCCTTTACCTTCCAGCTGCCCGCTATGCAGTTCTGAAGGGACAGAACTCTACATCAAGTGATGTAGAGTCCAGGACAAAGGTCAATAGCACATAGCAAGGGAACACATGCATCCAACACACCGAAAAGTATTCGATGCTGAAGATTCTTAGCTGTGTTTCCAACAGATTGTTAAGGTACGTATTATACATAAGTTTTACACAACAGTGATCGTTTGAAGATTTATAAAGTGACAGCCTTTGCTTTAGAGGTGCAGAGTCAGAAATAATTTTGACTGTTATATAACAAATCTCATGATATATTTGATAGAAAAATGTATTTGATTTACCTTTTTATCTGGTGTGTCTTCATTTTTGCAATGCATATGGATGGCATGACAGTGGCTACTTATGTTTTAGGGAACAAAACTGAAAAAAGAACATATCACAGTGGATTTAAGGGTATTGAAGTTTCAACGTACTCAAAGCGGGTGGATGTTAGGTTGCTACATTTCTTGGGGACTTCAGTGACAAATTCTTGACACCAGAACCATTACTTGCCTTTCCTTCCTCATGGATTCACTTGCGCTATGCTGCAGGGAAAGAAAGGGAGACTCCTTGTTCCAAAAATTGGGAAGCTAGGAAATCAGGAACTGAGAGCTTACCTCTCATAATTCTAGAAGATATAAAAAGCGAATTTAACTTGGTTGCATTCATCAAATATTCAAATCTAAACTGCAGGCAAACAGCAAAAGACACTACTTAAATAAACATATGTTTGCTGTTTTATTTGCTAAATGATTTACAATTCCATTCAGACAATCCTGTGTGTTATACATATATGCCACACTGCACTGTAAGGAAGGGGACACACTTACTGCCTGGATGAACAATGATGCAGCCCTAGTCATTATTTGGCCTCCAGTCTTCTAAATGGACAATAAATCCCCATCATGACCTCCATCCAGTTAGCAGAGAGGTGATCCACAAAGTAGTAAAGTTGAACTAGAAAGAGATTAAGCTAAATCTGGAAGTAATTAGGGAGATTGTCCTGGTAGATGTGTGTGAATCAGAAAAGTGGCTCTATAAAATGTCATATCCTTTGGTAGGTAAAACAGCATGCAAATATATGTATTTGAACTGTGTACTTATCTGTCTAGCTGAAATACCGCTTTAATTATTAGTTTATTTTTAGAGTGGGCTAATGCCTTAGCAATTAGCAATTTCATGTCTGCTTTAACCCTTTAAATAACAAATATAGCTTATTCTGTAGAGAAGTGACAGGGTCACTTTATAATTTTAAACAGATTCAGATGGTGGCACCCTGTAATAGAAGAGAATGAATACTTACCTCTCCAGTACATGGCTAATCCATTCTTCACTCTCTTGCAGAGTTGGCACCACTGCTTTTATCTCACACTTACAGCTGTGTAAGATAACGTGTTCTCCATGGTTCATCCCACAGGCTACTATGTCACTACAGGACACACATTTAGAAGTGTTGAATAGCAGCAGTATCGACTCACCACCCACAAGAGAAATAAGTATTTCTCCTAATACAAAGTGCAGCTGCCTGAGTTATTTTAAAGTGTATGCGTCACTTTAAGTAGATCAGCAAAATAAATATTTTAACAAACAAAAGAAAATGTCAAAAATATTTAGGCCAAAACAAAAGGTGTGTAAGAGATTAAAATGTAAACCCCCTGCAACATATGAAAATGTTATATTAATCACATTGGAATGTTCTTAACAACTGAGAATTATATTGCAGATTTTCCTCATAGCAAGTGGTTAGGGAAGCCATAGGTTTGGGGTAATTTCCGCTTGATGCTGAAACCAGCAATCCTTTTCATTGATAATTCAAGCAATATGGAATTGATGAATGGCAGCTTGATTAAGGGAATAGTGAAAATCAACCAGGAGTTAATTCAGATAATACATATGTTGTTGCCAGTTTTGCATGTAAATTACATCCCTGTCCATAGCAGATGATTCTCTCAGTGGAATAACTTTAAGGGTTAGTATGAATAAATTGCAGGAAGGTTTATTTGATAGAGCCGTTAACAATTTCCCCAAATGGACATATAACATTTTATTGAGATGATTAAAGAGATATTTAAGATGAAGTTTGTATAATTGGAGAGACTTTTCCCTACACAGCTGCACTAACTGCAAAGATGAGTACTGCCAACCTCAATAGGTATACCCTTCATACTTAAATGCTTAATAGCATTGAAACGAACGGCTGAACAACAAAATTAAACATAGCAGATCTTGGTCAGTTTTTTTTACTGTTTTTGTAAGTTTATGAGAGTTCATGAATCTTATTTTCTATAAGGCTTGGTATTATTATTTGTATACAATCTATATTTACAAATAATTAAGAATGCATTTAAAACACTAATTTTGTAGCACAACACTGGCTGTTCATTTTGGCCATCTGAAAATCTACATGGTATGTGTGTATTCTGCACTCCCTGAACTGATATAAGATTGCAAGCCTTACTGAAAGTTTAGATAGGCCTTATATACACACTTATCTCTGTATGTAAATGGTGTTCCTTCTGTGGTACGCTCATAATAGAGGCTAATTACAGTAAAGCAGTAAAGCTAACCTAGTAAGGCTATGTTCACATCTAGGCGATTCTGCTGGTGAGCTGGTATCGTGTGGTTAACGTACATTTTTGTTTGGCAATTTTGCTTTGGAAATCGTGCACTTGTCGCACGGTTTTCTATGCATAACCACATGACAACCACCCGAAAAATTGCTCCTGAACCTTTTTGCACGAACCTTTTGCTCTGTTTTCTGCGATATCGCTTAGGTGTGAACCTAGCCTAATAAGGGGACATTAGTCTAGAGCTACTGACAAATATATCTGATATGCTTTTTTATTAAGGCAATCTACAGAGTTGTGTTTGTATATTTTGTACACATTAGCACAAAGCAGCTAGAGATCATGCAGGATATCTTGCTTCCCCTAGGACATATTGTCTTGAATAAACTCTCCATCTTGCATCATTGAAGAAATGGCTTGTATTGATTTTTATGGGCTACTGAATGTTACATG